GTGGAGGCCATACTTTGTACTGATTCCAATTTTTTTTGTATTATGATTTTTTTTCGGGGTGCCAAAGAAGAGCCATATTTTTTTTTAGTTTTGCTTATATGCGCACTCAGTATTTTTGACCATTTAATAAATTTTGTTGTAAGTTACATTCGTTTAATAATCACCCGCCAACTTTTTTTTCCCTAAAGCGATCTAAAAAAAATTATTGCCATTTTTAAAAATATCCCTAGACTTTTCTGATGTGTGTATATATGTATATTTGTGTTTGTATTTATGTGTTTATGTGCTGTATATGTAACTGATATTTAATATTGAAATAATTTATTCAATCATTATTTTAAATTTTATCCCTGTTATAAACAATCTTGTTTCTTGGAATTAATGAAGATCTTTATTACTATTATTATTAGTCAAGCGGAGTTGGAAGCTCTTGGTTCCTACCGAGCAACATCAAAATTGATAGCAAATTGGTAACAGACTGTCTCTGGTCTGGATTCCCGGCCATACTGGCCTGAAAGGCAATGAGGCTGCTGACTCACTTGCAAAGGAGGGTGCTGCAAGCAGCTTCATCGGACCAGAACCCGTCATTGGCATCGCTTTAGGCTTTGCCAAACGAATATTGAACACCTGGATGGCAAGAAGATTTATGGACTTCTGGCAGAATCTTCCAGGATTGGTTCACTCCAATGCGTTTATTCATCCTTCGAAGCTTCATACCAAACACTTGTTGTATACAGTAGGGATGAACTACGAAATAGGCCTTCTTACAGGTCATTGTCATTTGAATCATCATATGCAGAGATTCGGACTGTCGGTAGAGAGTGTGTGTCGCCTTTGTTTGGAAAATGATGAAACAGCAGAGCACATACTTTGTGCCTGCTCCGCTGGAGAACCGAATCAGGTTTTTAGTGTTTGGCAGAGCCGTACTCTCACCATCTGACCTGAAAGACCACTCACCATACAAACTAATCGGCTTCGTTAAGAAGCTGGGTTTATTTGGTCGAGTGTGATTAGGTGTGAGCCACAATAAACCCTTGCGGGTTGTGGTGGAGGGTGGTCCTTTATTCATCTCATTAGTTATTTGAATTTATTTGAAATACTTTGTGACCTAACTTGTAATACAAAGTTACTGCAAGTTTTGACTCCGACTTCTCTTGTTTCTGAGTACTTGTCATGCACTGTTTGGAACCTTTGGTGTAAAACGAATATTACTGGAGTTTTATCCCAAGAACAAAACGTTATTCTCAACACCTCGTTATGTGTTTAAATCATCAAGTGATAATCTTCAAGAGGAAGATCTTTTTCTTTAATCTTCCTCTTGAAGATGATCACTTGGTGATCGAAACACGTGTCAAGTTGTTAAAAATGATGGTTTGGTGTTGGGTCTAAACTCCAGTAATAATCATTTGTTCCTATGTAGACAAGTGGTAGTGGATCAGTTTCATAGGTTGTTTTCAATGGTCGTCATTTTGTCATCGATTAGTTTATTGTGGTGGATAAAAGAAATTCAAACCTTTACGAAGCATGATTATTGTTTTTCAGAATTCATTCACCTTAGGTCGGTAATTGCAATTTTTTTTACATTTTTGACAAAATCTCGAAAGGGTTTATGCATTCTAGACACTTTTTGAAGGTAGTTATTAACAATCAACAATGAATGTTGAATTTGAAAAAATCTTTCAAGATATACTTTCCTTGTTTCTAGTAATGTTCTCATCAAAAAGTTGACATGAACGTTATTATATTTCATATGCTTTTAAAAATGTTGATTTCAACTAATTTTATGATTCTTTAAAAGCATCAGGATTGTATCAAATGAAGTTCATTTGTTTACTTGGTAACTGCCTGATTAATTCATTTCTTCCAAGAACTCGGAAGTTACGATTTTTCTACCACTTTTGCCTACGGGTCAATTTTTAGAAGTTTGTCATATATTTCTGGACATTATTTGAATTGTTAATGAATTATGTTTCCCTTTGTTGCATTGCCTATGTCTAAGCTACAGCCCTGAATCAGTGTCCAGGGAGTTACCCTGAACCCTTACTCTGGTAAAGTAGTTCTTCAATAATTTTATCAAAGGGTTCCTTATTCAAGGTTCAGCACAGCTGGTTCAGATGTAGGGGATAATCTATGTGTAGCTCACACATCAAATGTTCGGTTTCATGAGTATTCTGGCACTCAATAGTCGTTTACTTTTTTACGGCAATCCCAGTCTAGTCAAAAGTATACTCTGGTGTGAACATGTTAAATATTTTGAAATCTGAACCGGTTGATCAAATTCAGTCTGATAGAGAAAGTAAAATTGCAAAATCAATTAAGCAAAAAGTTAAAGATAATGAAGTGATTTTTACAAGAGCAGATAAAGGTCGAACGGTTATTACATTAAATAAAAAGGACTACATAGGAAAAACTCTAGATTTCCTTAATTCAGGAAGCTACGAGATTCTGAGGAAGGATCCGACAACTATGTACCAGAAAAAGGTTAAGGAAACTCTCAAAACAATAGAATTGGTTATGAATGGAAAGGATAAATGTAGAGCATTGATCATGAATCCACAACCACCAAAACTGTATTCTCTTATTAAATTACATAAAACCAATTTCCCGAATAGACCAGTGGTATCGTTCCTAACGGCACCTACCGTTAAAATCTCAGAAATCCTGATTAAATTGATTCAAACCTATACCAATTTCAAGCCTAAATTTAGTATAAATAATTCTTATCAATTAGTGGATAATATTAAAGACGTAATCCTCCCAGATAACTCAAAATTAATATCGTTCGATGTCCAAAATTTATTTCCCAGTATCCCGCCAACTGAAACAATTGGACTAGTGGAGTGTCTCTTAGACAAAAACCACGTGAATCCACTGATAAAACAAGAGATTGTTGATTTACTCACCATTTGTGTGTCTCAAAATTATTTCCAGTTTGACGGAGAATTCTTTTCATGCAATGAAGGACTAATAATGGGGAATCCTTTGAGTCCCTTACTGGCGGAAATTTTCATGGATAACATAGAGTATGAAATCCATAATAATCAGTTAGCCAACAATTTTTTGTACTGGTACAGATACGTAGATGATATCTTAGTATGTTTTACTGGTACAGATAGGCAATTAGGCAAATTCATTGAATATGTCAATTCCATCCACCCGTCAATAAAATTCACCACTGAGAGGGAGGTAAATAATTCAATAAATCACCTGGACTTAACCATTACGAAAAATAACAATAAACATGAGTTTGCAATTTTCCACAAACCATCGTACACGGACATTATCATACATAATTCCTCCACACACCCGTACCAGCATTAAGTTGCTGCATTCAATAGTATGCTTCACAAATTATTGAATAGTCCACTGTCTGATAGGGATTTTCAGAAAGAGCTGAATTTGATCAAACAAATCGCGATTAATAACGGTTATAAGGTAGATTTGTAAGCTCCATTCTTTCCAAAAAACGACAAAAGCAAGCCATGGATCTGGTCTACCCATATTCAAGATGCGATAACGTTAGTTATAAGACATTGACATATGTGGGGGAACCAAACAGGAATATTGCCCGTTTTTTGAAGAAAGAAGGCATAAACGTAGCTTATAGAACGAATAATAACCTAAGTAAATTTATTAAAAACAATAAGGACAAAACTTTGGTGTCGGATAGATCAGGAGTATATAAGCTGACTTGTGGCTCTTGTCCAAAACTGTATATTGGCCAAACAGGAAGAACATTTTTCCAATGAATTAAAGATCATAGGAGTAGTTTTGTAAATAGAAAGACCAATTCCACATTTGCAAACCATCTGGTAGCAGAAGGACATGAGTTCAATAATGGGTACGAGGTGTTACATTTAGAAGAGAAGAGTTTGAAACTTAATCTTCTAGAATGTTTAGAAATCAATAGATTCAGGAATTCGGGTAATTTACTGAATGATCAATTAGAACTCAATAACTCTCCGTTACTGAATATATTTTTTCAAATGTGAAAATGGAACATAAGTGCAGGTAATTTAATTCGTTAGAAACTCAGGTAAAATATCAGCTACTTAAAATTCAGGTAATTCGTTTACAGGTACTTTGATTTCAGGTACTCCATAAACTATATATATATATAAAGACACGCCAGATGAAGCCATTTTATGGCGAAACACGTGTTGCGTTTTTGTAAAACAATTTAGTGAAAATCTCACAATAAAGTGTTTTTGGAATACGTTTGTTAAATATTACTTATTTCACTCACTCGCTTCATGTTATGGTAGCCATACCAACTCGTATAATTTTGAAAATGAACATAATAATTTTTGGAAAATAATATCTGGCGTAATTCAAATGCATATATGCACTATATCAGAAATGTATTTATTATGTTCACTCAAAATTGCATATTACTAGTATTTATAGCAAAAAAATGTATACCTGAAAACTGATTATCTAAATCTTTGTTCAGTTGCCCCACTTCCGACCTACGAACCAATTGATAAATTTGGTTACCAAATTGGAAAAGTGGGACTCGTCAATGTTACCATCGAAGCGAATCCAAAACCACAAATTGAATGGACTATTGGGGGACAGAAAGTAAGGGAAGGATCTACGGACAACACAGGAAGGATTGAAGCAGAGGCAGTGAGGGAACTGGTAAGAGTTTTCTCATTTTTATTTTAAATAATTTTTTTGAGATTTTTTTCAATATGATATATTTCGATAAAATCAATACTATTCTATTTTTTATCAGTTTTTCCAGTTATATTCTTTGAAAAACAGAGTTGATATGGACTTGTATCACGTAAATGAAATAGGAGTTTAAAGAATTTTTGATTTTAAACTTCTTGATTTCAAAACTTTGCATAACACAAACCCTTAAAGTTAAATATCAATATTCCTTCTTTCGTTTGGTTGAAGCAATTTTGTATATTCGTGTTTACAAATTGAAAAGGAAATAGTATTTCTCAAAAGAGTATTTGTTTGCAGAAAGACTCTTGCGTGATTTTTCTCCTTCTCAAATCATCTTAACTTATTGAAAACAGTGATCTATAAAAACGAATAATTTTTATACTCATGTTGTATGTCTGCAATAGATAATGCTACTTTTCAAATCCAGTTTCAATTCATGCAATATTTTTCATAGTAATTCCTGGTTAATAAAATATTTTTTGTAATTTTTATACCTAACTCATTTGGTTATAATGGCATTATTGGCACAAAAAAAACTGAACTTTTTCGCAAATCACACACTCTCAAATGATGGCCCTTTAAAACTCTTTGGACGATAATCTCAACTGGTCCGCTCATAAAGATAAACTGTGCAAAAAACATCCAAATATACTATGTTCTGCGTCAACTCAAAAATTTTGCAAATATGGTCTCATACAGTCCCATTTGAATCACCGTATCATTTTATGGGGTAATACTCCAAACTCAAAAAAGTCTTCATTATTCAAAAGCGGGCTATACGAGTCATAGCTAATGCAGGACATAGGGATCACTACCGGCCGCTGTTTTCCGAGTATGGAAAAAAGCGGCCGGCAGTGATCCCTATACATATACATATACCACTCACTACTACATATACATAAAAACAAAAATGCATACTCAACTAATGCGGAGTTTTATAACTACAATACCAGAAATAAAAATCTGCTTAAAAAACCAAGAAATCGTCTAAGTCAGCCAGAAACTCTGTTGATATTAGGATATATAACAAATTACCTGGCGAAATTAAAACTCCAAATTATAATCCATACAAAGCAGGAGTCAAGAAAATATGCTCCCACCACTGTTTCTACATAGTTGAAGAATTTATGATCTGCAATATATAATGTTTTTTCCTATTTTCTGTCAAACACATGATACATATTCACAGAACTGCCTCTCAACATATTTTGTTAATAAACTCCGCTAATAATTTACCTGTTTGATTGCCTGCTTGGCAACTTTCATCTATACTTATAATTTTTTATATCTTTGTAATTTTTTTATACATTTTATACATACATATTGTCCACACCTCATGACCTGCTACAAATGTATTTTTTTTATATAACGTAGTCAATAAACATCTATCTATCTATCTATCTATCTATTCCCGTTAAGTTTTTATAATCAACAACTATTATTGTGATGGAAATGGACGATGCAGTTTGTAAAAATTGTAGTATTTTACGTACCTGAAAAAGCTATGATATAGTAAGACACGTGTCGCGATTTTGTAAACTATTTAGTGAAAATCCTACGATTAGGTTTTACTCAAATAATTACGAAAGCGCATATTTTTATTATCCGTTTCTTGGAAATTCCGAATTCAAAATTGGAAACCTCGATTTTAAATCCGAAATTACGACTTGAATCTCCAAATTACCACTTTAGTTTCGAAATTACGAGTTTAAAAGTCGTTCGCGCATCTCAGAGGCAAAGCTAGATTTGCCAAGCTGTACATTCCCCCAAACTCTAGAGCCACCTCATATTTTTGTCAATAGAAAAAGGGATCATACTTTGATTGAGAGGTGTTTTCATTCACTATACGACTTTTGTTTTGCATTTTCATGAATACGTTATCGATAAAAAAGAACGGGTGGATTTGGAAAATTAACATACTCATTTTCATTCTAAATCATTCCATTTTATATTGGAACTAACCTCCGTTAACCCTATTACAGAAATACAACTGATCTTCTATGCCCAACTTTTAGTATTGTTTTCAATTCTATTTCGTTTTGGTTCCCAAAGTTTCAAAAACAGTCTAACATGTGAGGCAAGGTATTATAGCAGACCGTTTCTTGATACTTCAGCCAATTCGCCGTCTAGGAAAGTCTTTGTTTGAAAACGGGTGCAGCATTGTGTGGAGGTGCCTCTTCCTAATGAAACATCAACTCGTTTGCTGGGAAAAACTTATCTTTTATAATATATCAGTTACCTTGGCAATGATTCTATGGCACAAAAGTAGTAAATAATTTTAAGCATTCAGATTACCGACGATAAAAATACTCAACGAAGTGATCTTCTAGATTCTAGCCTGCACATTGATATTTTTTGAGGTTGCTGCATACTTGGTTCTCAAAACAAGTCATGCATCATTTTTATCACTTAGGTTATGTTTTTGAGTTGCTCTGAGAACCGTACTTTTTTTATTGACATCAGATTCGATACCGTTCTCACAAAAGTATCAAGCTCCAACTGAACATGACCCAAAATCTGCAGGAAATTTTTCGACTTTAATCACGAATTGAAGCCGAAATTTCGAGTTTAAAATCGAAATTTGGAGATTGAAGTCGATATAAAAATATGTGGCCTTCTGTACTTCTGTAAGTAAGTACTATTTATTACTTTAGAAAAAAACTCTACTGATTTTTATTTTTCCTATAGGAATGTTCTTTGAGATACTAAATGATGGTTTCTGTAAAACCCTTCATAGTGAAAATCATACAATAAAATGAATTAGTTAATTTTAGGATATTGATACAAAATTCCACCTACAAGAATCACTCTCATTTTCTAACTGCACCCTGGTACTAAAATGTATTTGTGTGTTGATTTGAATTTTCGCAGTTGAATCATTTTCTGTAACTTGGTCAAAACAATAATTGAAAAAAAAAAAAATTCAAACTGAATTCGAAACATTCGTCGCTCCCAACATGCCAAAATTGGAAGACGTGATGAATACCTCCCTAAATAAAACTACTTTCCAGGCTGATACCAAGGTTGACATTGAAATATAGCCGACATTTGCACAAGCAAATATTCAATATTCATCGTGTTATTGGCCAAGGAATTGGAAATTTTCCGATAAGCATTTGCCACATCTTATTATTTAAGGACTTTGGAAGAGGTGAATGTTTCAAATGTAATTTGAAATATTCATTTTCGTACTAAGTTAGTATCTCTTTCTTCGATTCGGTTTTCAGAATTTTCTTGAATTCCGTTGGAGTGTTATACTGGATGCTTTTTTCTCGGAGCTTTTTTCACGAGACGGAGCTCTTAGTACATAACAGAGTTTGTCTTAGACGAAAGTTTCGTACATGCAGTCGACCTATGAGGAAATCATTCGACTGTTTTCTCTATCCTGCAAGCACCTGCACAAACGTCTGTCGAATATAATTCAATGTATGTCGGGGTATTGGCCGTGGAAGTAGTTTTCCGGGCGATATTTGTCACATTCTACTGTGGTAGAAGTGAATGCTTTGAAATCGATACGAAATATTTATTTTCTTTGTAATTTGGTCATTTTTTTTAGGGAAGAGGTAGATATGAAGCCAACTTACGCCTAGCTGCTATCAACAAGCAAGATACCGAAATCGATTACATTTTAACTGCGTATAATGATATGGGATCACAGGAGTACAGGATCAAAATTTCCACCAGCCCCGAACCGGAAGGTAACTATTTTTTGTACTGTATTGTTCAAGTGACGAATTATAAAAAAAACAGCCATACCAAAATGTCAAGATATGAACAAATAGGAGTCAAAGTAAAAATATGTACAAATATGTAAAGTGCTATGTTTCTTAATTTCACTGTCATATATGAATGAAACTAGTAAAGGAGACAGACTTTGGTTAAATCTAATTGAAGTAAGTTTGTTTAATGATTCTCGGGGGTTGAAAAACTTCACCATGAACTTTAATAACTATATGAATAGATCAACCAAGTTTTTCTTGACATTTTGGAGGAATACTACCGAACCAACAATATTTTTTTAAAGTTTCTACTCCATTTTCACGCAATCCTATAGGTATCCAGAAATTCTTTAGAAAAAGAATATACGGTGAGTTACATTACCTATTCTAATGTATTACTATGATCATTTTCATTATGCTTTTTTTAAAGGTTTTTTTATTAATAACATCAATCTCATAATGTAACCCAACTGCCACATGGTTCTTCAAATATGTGAGACTGTTATTCCATCATGATTTCCACATTCATTTTTTTGACAAAATGTAGGTTTTTACAAGGTTTTTCAATGTTTAATTCCAAACAATTGCCCTGACTTGGCGTCGATGAGACGTTTGATTACTAATTGACTGAATATTCCGAAACTGTTAAAATTTATACTGTTCATTATTCTACTTTTATTCTACTTTTAAAATTAAGATTTGTTTACTCTTTGAAAATTTTGGCATAAATTTATACTGTTTTTTATTCTACTACTATGTTGCTGAATGAGAAGAAGCATTTGTTAGAAATTCTTCTGTGAGGAAACAAATATCTGTCAGATTTAATTCAATGCCGTCGTGGTATTAGTTGGGAAAGTAGAAGGTTTTTGCAGGCATTTGCCAAATCCACCTATTGTGATAAATTAGGACAGGTGAATAGTATAAATTTAATGTTCGAAATTATTCTATTTGATTATGAATGTATATTTTCTCAACAAAGTCATCAAATTCATTTTGATTTCAAATATAAGTTTTTGATTATTTTTGAATAACTTGTGAGTGTTCGAATTTTGAATATTGCTTCAATACAGTTATGAAATATTTTCAAGAGTCATATTTTTATAATCAAGAGATGTTTTAAGAATTTATAAAATTAGGTTTTCCAAGATATTTTATAGCCATAAGATATATTCAAAGGTAATTCGATCTATAACTCTGTCAAAAGTTTTAAAGTATGATTCTGATTTTTCATTTAAATCATATGAATAGACAAATATTCAAACAAATAATTTTTTCAAGAAAATTGAATACATTTTATATATTGTGTTGTCACTCGAAATAGGTTACATTTGTCTCTTATAAAAGTTGGGACAATTCATATTTCAATAATTATCGATAAATCATCAAGTTTAATCGCAGCCGAAGAAAACTGTCAACCTTTTTAATGTATTTTCATTATCTACAATCTGAAAAAGAATTAAAATTGTACTGAAACACTATAAAAATAGGTGTAGAACGGGAATATTTCTAGTTCCATTCCAAACACGTTTTCAAAAAAAACATTTCTTGAACTGGGTGTTTCAGTATAAATTTCAAACTGCCATAAAATGTTTGGGGACGATTTGAAAAATGGTACTCACTTGAAAAGTTTCGCCTAAACCTGTGTTAAAAATTCATTAGCTATTCAATCTGTAAATTTCATTTCACTATATCATCTGACCCTAATCACAAATTATTGCAAGCACAATAAGTACCAAAAATATAGGAAAGAGAAAATAACTTTTATTTGTTTTCTTCTGAAATTTTCATTTGTTATGACCGGTTTCGGTTTACTTGAGAATGATTTAATAAACTGAAACTGGTTGTTGCAAATACAAATCTTCCTAGAAATTATACAAAAGTTATTTTCAATATCCTATATTCAATATGAATTTTCACAAAATAAATAGATCATCAATCGAACAAGTTGAGTCCTAAAAACTCGTTCACAGGAGAGATATATCAAACTAAAAAGTTTTTGCCATAAATTATTCATTGAATTCAAAAAGTTTTCAACACGTTGATTGCTTGATGCAAATTCTATATATTCTCAAATTTGCTTTCAGACCTACGAAGGCTACTCTGTTATTTTTATTGATTCTTTGGTCTGACGCAGAATTGTGAATCCGTTACGTAATGATTCTAGAAAAATATCAATGGGGTTTAAATCGAGTGATTGTGGCTGCCACTTAATAGCCCATCATGGTCGATCCACTTTTCTTGAAACGTTTCCGTAAGGAACTGATTCTAATTTTCAAGCACGAACTTGTGGTCAGAAATCTTAAACGGAACGCTGATTGGTCCGTTTCAATTACCTGACCATTTGAACGGCGAATTCTACTTAGAATTTTCACGAAACGATTTCAACCACATACTGAAAAATGTAGTACTGTAAACATGTAGAAACATGTCGTTACAAAGCGACGGCTGTGATAGGATTGTCGAACAAAAAGGTTTGGGCCAAGTTCCTCAAGTAATTTTCATTTGAATTCATTTTCTTTATGGCGCAATGGTATCAGATTTTACCACAACGAGCTCATTTTTACCTTTTTTTATTCCAAAAATCGAATCGGAATAATTTGAATTTATTGTTTTATCAGCAAGCAAAACTCTCTGAGAGAATCCGATACTTCATAAAGTGGCCTCAAAGAAGCATTTTAGGCGAACGTTGCGTGACGTCACCAGATATATGAACTACCTGCTAGCTAGGAATCGTCTTTAGTGTCACACGGTCATGTATAGGCAGTGTGAAAAATTATTTTTTGTTTGTTTGTATTAATCTGCCTGTGCTTTGGAGCCATGAAGGATGAAAAAAGTCTCAAAAAAGTAATGTGTAGTACATGGGTTCGCTTATTCAACCAGAAATGCACTGAACAATCTGTAATCTTTACCAACATTAAAAAAGTTTACAAATCCTTGCAAATAGTCAAGTGAAAAAAGAAGTTTGTTAAATCATTTTTTGTTTTTGTTGCGAGAATTAATTTAATGTAGAAACATCACATTTGTTTCGAAGAAATGAAATAAATGCATTTATAGGTATATACCTATTAATGGAAAGAGTGAACGAAAATATATTGCTAAAATATACCATTACAAACCAATATATTGATTCACTTTCATTTCTCATTGCTGGAAATTATTTGAATTTGAATGGTTGGACTGAAAAGCTTTTCATCATTAAATTTGATGAAAACTCAGTCCTTATTCTTAATAAAATATTCCATAACCATGTGTTACCTTACCACCTGCGTTACATTACTTGGGTCTATCTCAATACAACTTTCCTGGACTGAACACATCTTCATTCAAACCTCAAACATTAAATGCTCCTTCTATCGCACATATCTTGTGACATCACACTAGCTTTCGCAAACGAACAGTTTGAAGTTCAAGAGGAAGATTAAAGAAAAAGATCTTCCTCTTGAAGAGGAACACTTGGTGATTGAAACACATGTCAAGGTGTTGAAAATAACGGTTTGGTGTTGGGATTAAACTGCAGTAATATTCTGGTTGACTCTCAAAATATTTAAAAAAATTCCCGAAATTGGATTCGACTGACTGTATCTGCAAAAGATTCTGTTCACCTTTGCAAAAAGCAAAAAAAATTAGGCATGTATCCCAATAATCCATGGTTCTGTGGGGGTGACACAGGTACTACCTCTGAACTTCTTACTGACGTTAATTTCTGGTACATCTCGTAATACATCATTACCTTAATTTAATCATTATTTATCAATCATTTAATTTTGTGTAACAAAAAAAAATTATTGTACAAACTATTCAAAGATGTCCATGAGTAGGTACACACAGTTGAATATTAATAATTATCCGTAAAAGTGATATTTTCATTAAGGTATATATGGATGTAGAAATCAAGCAGTGGGCTTGTGTACTATATACATCTTTAGAAATGTTTTGTTTTCCAAACAAAATATTTTTTCAAATACAGTGATGATTTTGTAATGAATAATATTAATATTAAAAATGCAGTAAAAAAATAAGCGAATCTCTGAAAGGTTCACTTCATGTAAGAACAATAATTTCCATTTGGTAATATGATAACTAAGGACAAAAATTTCAATTTTCAGGTCTAGAACTTGGAATCGGAGTAATAATAGCAATTGTAGTAGTGGTACTATTTGTTATCCTACTGGTGTCCATTTTGATATTTGCTAAGATTTCTGGCAGATGGTGTTTCAGTGGTGAGTAGATTTTTCATATTTTTTGAATGGGTGTATTTCATCAACTTTGGTATGTAACGTTGAGTGTCTTCCGATTCAATTGAGATGTATTTCTTCAAATACTTCATGTGAATTCAAATTTACCTTTTTTGTTTCTGATATGACGAGATAATATAATTGTAATGTTTAGCTATAGAAGAATAAAACCAGAAATGATATATCAATTTGTCTTTCCTTATTTGAGTAACCAAATGAGTTAATGGATCAGTTTTCTGCTTAATATATAAATGAAATTTAACCTGAACCCTACTTTCTGAAAATACTGTTATTAGTTTTGATTGAGGAATATCATTATTGTTTTATATTGTTATTCCTCAGATAAATTATCATTTCTAGTTATATTTTGTATATATAGATGTAGATGTACTGTTTATTGTCCTGTAAAATTATTCATGTACAAAAATATCAAATAAAAGCTAATACCTAAGAGGCAAGTAATGTGGTAAGTTATATTAAATGGATTGTCGTAGATCTTGAAACTCTGGCATGACCAAATAGTTGTTATTTTCATGAAGCATGTGCATATTAATATTGGATTGCTCTGAATATGAACATTGTCAAACAGAATGAATTCATTGTCATCATCATTAACATTTCTATATCACGAAATAATTCAAAAGCCTATTCCCTGAAAACAGTTCCATTATACTTTTCATATACTTCAGAATTTCACAAGTTGTAGGATGACTGTGGTAGGTTCTACTTGATTTTACTATTTTATTTTTTGCTTTCAAAGTGTATATTCTATCATTATTTCCAAATATGGAATAGAAATATGAATGAAACCCTAGAAAAATCAGTAGATTATTCATAGGCCACTTTTCCAGGCATATAAGATCAAATCTGAAATATCTACTCCCCTCACCATATCGTGATGCTTCATTAATTTGACGGTTAAACACTTATGATCTAAAAAGACTTTTCCCCTTTAAATTTGAACATCCAAACATATCAAGGTCCTATAAAGTTACCAGATATTATTTTTAGTACCCTTCAAAGAAAAAAAACGACATGATGTCACTTGCTGGCAAGAGGGAAGAATATGACTAACTCGAAATAATTAGCATTTTATTCGAAATCAATAATTTTTTTCACTCACTGAGAACCAAACTATTTTGAAAGAAAAACATTTGTTTTGCTTCAGGTAATTTGGAGAAACAAATAGTTCTACTGTTATATGTTTCCGACAGGTATAGATAACTTTTCCCATAATATGAATTATTGTAATTACAATGTTTATTTATGGTGAAACTAGTAGTATTCATCTGCAGCTTCTAAATATATACCAAAAAGCAGAGTCTGACTCTTTTTACCTGAATATTTTGCATACTTTCATCAGGACCACTTCTGACCCTGAGGTTTCTAGGAGAGTGGCTGATAGAGAATTATCCAAAACAATTTATAGGCAAACCTGATCCCTCAGAATGACCCGCTTGGTCACCTGATGTGACCCTATAAGATTTTTGTGGGGATAAATGTAACTTTTCAAATTATGGGAAATGAATTAACAAAAAAAACGTCTTTGTTGTCAGGGAGTGGATGATCGATATGGTAAACATTTATTGATTACTAAAATAATTGGAAGTATGAAACTAAACTTCTATTTAAATTATGATATTCATCGGTTATTTGTACTGAGTAGTTCATCTTGTGATATGTTTTCTCTCTTTTTACTAATATATTTTCTATGAAGTTCTGAAATCTGAAGTCGAGCATCAAAATATCTCAGGTCACTCTGATCCTAACAAATTATTAAATAAATAAAAAGGGGTAGTTTACTATTACAAAAAAAAAGTATGCTGTGATACTTCAGAATCACTTATTTTCTACCAAAAACAAATTTACTTCTTTTTCAGCAGTGATTTTTTTCCAAAATGTTATTCCCATTATAGTTAGGTTTTCTCCAGAAAATGAGTTTTCATGCGCATCTGAATTATTTCACTGATTAATTTCCTGAGCTGTAATCGGTATTTCTTACATGTTGGAACGAATGTAGAAAATGTAGTTTTCTAATACATCTTGTGTTTATGGGATCCCTGTATGTAATGTCAATAATCTATAATATAATTATCTAGTATAATTTTCAGCACGAACAATACAACAATACTGTTGTATTTTTCACATATATTGATATTGTTATAGTAAACTTCCATCGTTTGAAGAGTTGAGAAAATTTGGATCCAAAAACAGTTCAACTCATTTTCGAGGATGATATTGAAAAAATGTCTTACACGTTCCTAATCTGTCTGTTCAAAATCTGTTTTTCCGATAACCAGCTATCACGTTACAAACAACACCACTCAGAAGTCCAAAGATTCACGAGGTGTCATATTTTCACGTGTGATTCCTGGCACTAGAACGACGATACACAGTGAAAATCGATCGTCCCACAGTGGGGTTCCAACCACCGACCACATAACGGTAGACTGCATGAGTATAATGAATCACTCATGCTAACTGTCTTGAAGCCCTCTTCCAATATTTCAAGTCATTGAATATTCATTTAAAATTTCTTCATTTCAATATCACTTTCAATCCATAATCATCATTTACAACTATTTAATATAATTTGTTCAATTCACACTTCAAATACACACAATTATCGTATAAAACGCTAGGAATCGCACGTTAAAAGGTTAAACCTTGTTAATACTTAGCTCGCACAAGTTTTGGCTCTTGAGAATTGCCTTATCTACGAGGGTGACAGCTGGATAACGAAAATACAAACTAAAACAGATTTTTCACCAGAAAAATTTGGACAGTTCATCTATTTTTCTAATTTCAATGTCAACATTGTAGATTTCTTTGGAGTACTAAAGTTTGGATTAACGTCGTAAGGCAAATAAATTTCTGTAAAATGTATTTCGCCTTCTCCAAAAAACTATTTTTTTAAGTAATCTTCAGTTTGTAACTGTTATGATGGTGATGTTGTTACGAAACAAATTGATTGATTACTTTCTTCTTTCTCCATCACACCTTCAATTTGGAAATTCAAGTATTTCGTGTCCAATTAATACCAATATTTTTTACATACCTACTAGAATTTTGAAGGATATAGAGACCATAGGTAATTTTTCTTGGTATTCATATTTCTATAAATTGTCTTTCATTGTTAAGTATATCATTAATTTTATTCATCTCTTTAGATTTATTTAAGTAGAAAGTTATAGATTATATCTAGTTTTTCAAGTAGTTAACTGATTACCTGTAGAATTATAGCTAGTATCTAGCATTGGGGAGTATAGAATGGTTGTAAATTATAAGTTATTTATTATTCTAGCTTGTGGAAGACTATACAGCGTGTATCATAAGTACGTTGAAATATTCATGTGACGTAATCCTGAGATAATTTCAAGAAAAAAAGTCTATATAAACTTTTGTTCAGAAATGCTTCTTTTCGGAGATACAGGGTGTTGAAAATGACATTTTTTTGTTCGTTTTTTAAACATAACTTTTGCAAAAAATTAGTCATTTGCACGAAAATTGGTAACCGGGGTTTTTTGACGTAGAAAATCATAATTTCGTATTATTTTTCATGTAACATCTAGAGAGCGCTGTGTATGCTATCATTATTTATTTCGAATTGCCCTAACTTTTTTGACACGGCCCAAAATTTCCCAACTTTTTCCCAAGTCGAAAAAGCAGGGGAGAGGCTCCTGCCATCCCCCCCATGGCGACGGCCCTGTTCTCAGCAACTTCACTTAGCGCCCTAGGAGCTGATAAATAATATGCATGGATATAGAAAATTGTAAATACCTAAAAAACCATCACCTCCAGCGTTGTTGAGGAAGTGTCCTTTTTTTACTCAGAAAAGGTGTGGGTTACTTTTCATGAAAAGTATAAAAAGTTTACTACTAAAAAAATTTGGTCATTTTGAAATAAATAATGACAGCGTACGCAGCGCCCTCTACATGTTACATGAAAATTAACACGAAATTATGATTTCCCACATCAAAAAAACCTCAGGTACCAAATTTCATGCAAATAACTCATTTTGGCAAAATATATCATGACATTTTTTGGGAAGGAAAGTTTTTGGCTTTCTATTACTCCAAAGAAAGGAAGGAAGTAATAAGAAAATAAGTAACTCTATACATGGATGTGTAGATCATGCAAAGAAGTAACTTTCAGACACAAACTGAAAGAAAGTCCTCCTGAAACAGCTACTTCCATATAAACATTGAATTATGACTACTTAATTATACAGAAGATACTTTTCTCTACTCAGTTTGTATCTCAAATTTGTTGTGGAATAAAAATCAGATGGAGTATGGATCAGATGGAGTAGTAGAAAGCCAAAAACTTTCTTTCCCAAAAAATTAATCACTCCTAAAAATATAACCCCTTCAATTCATATCATGACATGTTTCGCCATCACAGTAGCTTTACACTTTGAAAAAGCCACTTTGATAGCGAAACAAGTCGTGATATACTTTTGAAAATAAAGTTTGTGAAGATCAAATCGAAAGGTGTAGTTTATGAAAAAAAATATTAAGACAAAACTGTTCATAACGATAACCTCAAGTTGCGAAACAGGTTTCACCCATAGTAAATGAAAGCAAACTGAGAAACAAATTTTTTCGGTGCATAGATTAGACATAATGAAAAGCCACTCATAATCACCAATAAATAGTTTATCACATATGTAGAAAAGATACATTCTTATACAATGGAATACTGATGTATCTATGTGAAAGTAACTTCTGAAAAAAAATGACGATCATCAAAACATCATGTATTTTTCACTTTTGAAGAAAGGAGTTATTCGACTCGCATGGTTTATTATCTCTACACTCGCCACACTATGATAAAATATAGATCTGGTAAAAAAAAATCAGCCAGCTGCAATATTATCAAAAGAAGGATCCCTCTAGTTCTCTAGTATTTAATAGCCTTCAGTTATCAATATTTATAGAAAGAAATAGTGAATTTATAATAGGATAAATGGTATTTGGAACCTCTGGCATGAAAATGAATCTATTGAAAAGTATTTTCAGTAGAATGTATAACAGTTGAATCGATTTCTAACGATGCATGGTTTGTTGCATTTTCAATGTTGTATGATTCGATGATGCATACACTGTTAATAAAAACATTTTTCTCATGAGAATTCATCTGGTTGTAGTGGTTATCTAGTGGCTCGAGGATTATATAGGTAATATAGTTCACCAAGAGCACGAAGCAATGACCATAGTCATCGATTCCTGAGATACCAAATGAAAAGAAATATTCAAACCTATCTCACCAACCTCATGGAAACTCTACTGTGATCATTTTTCAGTACAGGTTCATAACTATACTTCAAGCGTGATGTTCATAAACATCATCGAAAATTTTTGAATTTTATGACAACGTTGCTCTCACCTATTCTAAAGTTAACAGTTTTAGAATTGGGTTCATCATTTCGAAACTTAGTCTGGGAAAAGCATTTTTTTTCTCTGTTTAACAATGTTCCAAAACATTTAAGGCAATATGACTGGCAATGGAAACTGCTAATTCAATACCAAAATTTTGTTTTTTCATATATATTTTACGCTTTCTAAGTATAAAAGCATTGCTTGCCTCTGTTATATGGCGGTCTGTAAGTATGCATTGTGCAAATGAGCGATATTCCAATCACGTGTAGATTAAATTCAAATGAAACTTTTAATGATTCTTCGATAAAACACATTCAAAACAATACGATATGGAAATTCGAATAATAATGTCTTGTGTTGATTATTCTTTGACAATTTCCACAAGAAATGGTCTTTTTCGTGAGATTTTTCAAAAGACTTAATGAATTATTGAATCTACAATTTTTAATTGTAATTCAGAATTTTTTTCAAAGTTAGTTGATATCATACCTAATATTTTTCTCCTGAATGAATAAGGTTTTCAACTAAGTATGTAAATCTTTCTTTTCAACATCAACTGAAATGAATGATTCCTTTGTAAAATGTCAAAAGAAAACAATTTCATCATCTTGCAGTTCCATGTTAGATATTCAATTAGTTACCATTGGTCAATAAATACAACCTTTCAATTTTAATATAAACAATATTTACGTAAATCTTTAACTATTACCATTCCCTCCTTATTTTAACTTACTGGTAATTCTTGGTAGAATCTATATGAACATTCAAATCCAAGTGAAATCACTCATACCTTCTTTATTTTTTCATTTTCAAGTAAAACATATGCACAACTACTGCCACCTATGAGACAGTATTCAAAGATTCTTCGATAATATAGAATAGTACGTAGCTAAGAGTCTTTGAAAAACTCCACATAGATGGCGAAAGTAGTACAAATGTGTGATTTAAATTAGAATAATTTGTTACAAGAGTGCTAGTGGCTTATATTTGGTGCCTCTACGGGATATATACCTCTCAATTACTATTTATTTCTTTGTACATTCAAACATAGTGACTTATTATTTAGTTCTACGATGATCTTTGTAACATATAGCCAGTGAAATAGCTCTTTGCTCAACACCGAATGGTGAAACTGTTCCTTCAGATCTGTTTTAATATTTGCGAATTATACTTTGGAGTATGAAAAATGTTCATAGCACTATATGAATGTCGTCATTTTTGAGTGACTTTCAGATATCAAAAAGATATGAGAGAGAAGTGAAAAACTACGAAAAACGACAAAGACGTACAATGAAATATAGGATAGAGTAAATAACTTTTGTCTGATAGAGTACTAACATTTTCATTTGTTACGACCAGTTTCGGTTTACTATACCATTCTCAAGTAAACTGACGTAGTTTGATAAACAAATACTTGAATATACGATGTCAGTTGGGTAGGTTGATTAAACCTGTACCTTTAATAACAAAAATGTTACCTGAATCAGTAGCTTATTTGAGATACCAAAACAATAATTATTTACCTTTGTAACATATCAAAATTACTAAGTATTGATTGAAAAACACTACTTGTGTTCTTCTCCAGCTATCAATGGATCCTAATAAACTAGTTGTCCAAAATTCACAAATTCGAAATAGGAGAGCTGCATGATTCTAGTTGGTCATTGAGAGTTTTGAAATTGAAGTTTTCATTGAATTTATTTATTTACAATGCTTCCAACGAATTCATTTCCTTTCCTTTACTACACGTAAGGAGAATTTTCATGTTTTCTTTATTTTATCCTTCATTTTATTCTTCAACAAAATTTTACATCGAAAGCTCTTATCAGTTCGATAAGTCATATGTTCACATGGATGAGAATTTTTGATACTATTTTCAGAATAAACTGATATGGAATGGAAATAAACTGATATGGAATACAAATATATATTTTTCAAAATCTGAGATTGAAAAACATACTTTATACTATTTCATTCCATTTACAGAAGAATGTCAAAGAAATGTCGATGTGCAAGTTTGAGAATCTAAAAGGTTTCTTTCCCAAAAAATAATATCTCCAGAAAATATTCCCTTTTCAAATTATCAAAAACTAGTTTCTCTTGATATGTTTTTGTCTGAGAAAATCTATTATAGATACAATAATTTCCAGCAATCTATACGTGAATGGTTTTATAAGTAGTACCGGCAGAAAAAAAGCTTCATATATGACGACCGCCTACATATTAGCTTTTATTTGTTGTAGGGGGTGCCACTGTGATCGACTACACTACCGGAGAGAATGGACAACCGCCGCACTCTGACGGTGTTAGTGGCGATGGAGTAGATAACCCCCATCATCAGGTATCTTCTGAATACATTAACGGTAACGATTTGCCAATCAAAAAGGACGAGAAAATAGATACTGCCGTGTAATAACGTTCTATTCATGGCGTCAAGTGATATTTTTGATTGTTCGATGTACTAATCATGTTAATCCATAGACTTTCGACATTCCAGGTTTCCATGACATAAAGTATTTCCATTTTCAAATGAGTTATTGAAAGAATTGTCTCCAAACACGATTTATTTAATTTTTTAGAATGTGACTTGATTTTTTTCAAAAGTTTTTATTTTTTCTCTGTCGAATTCACAAATGTCCATTATAAAGAAATACTCATTCTTATCAGCAAAAACAAACTGTTTTGATATGTTTTTATAACGTATTTTTAACCACCCACAACCTTCCATTAGAATATGGAATATTATAAATTTTTTGTTTGAAGAATTTTTTTTTTTTTTCAAACAATACTTTATTGCTGGAGAATAGTTACATTAAATAGCAAATGGTTAAAATTCAACATAACATTAAGATTTGACTTATGGAATTTGTTAAAGATTGATATAAAATACTTAAGAGACGGTCATACCTATATATTAACCTTTTTTAGTATGAAGGAGAATCTCAAGTTACTTATTTTCATGGACGAATTCCTTTCAATTTCTCAAGTATGTCAAAATAAAAAAAAAAATCAAAAAGAATGAATCGTCACTTACAGATATTATTTGAGATACATTTGACTATACTCCAATGTATTATACTGAGTGTGTCATTCAAAACGGTGCAATCAATATAATAACGAGTTCTTATATTGATCTCACTGTAGTGAAACCAATGACTGCTATTTATAGATTAGTATTTTCAGAAAATGTTGTCTATTAGAAAATATATGTAAATAATCAACACGAATACTTTAATGTGAATTTCTATATAATATATGTAAGTACTAATTTTCTAGAATCTGTATTATCCAGCTTGTTGAGTTTGATAATTTTTTGAAAGGAAATATTATATAGATTGACGAATAAGTATGAATGTTTTACATTTTATGATAATAAGATAGTTGGCTGAGTTGCGAAAAAGAGACGGCGGTCCAAACATATTCTTTTTGATTTGTATCATCTATATACATAGTTTTCCTGATTATTTAAAATCAATAATCAAAACAGACTTGTATATTATTTATATTTTCCACCATTTGCTTAAAGCAAAATACTCGTTAGGTATTTACTTAGTTGTTTAGATATTTTTTTCGCATAATTTATATTATGTTTTAGGTTATGAATGAAAAAACTGCCATAACATAAAAAAAATTGAATGATTTTTGAAGCAATTTATTATTTATATGTAGATGTTTTTGATGGAATAATAGATGCTAATAGTTTATAAATATCTAGGAAGTCCAGATATGGACAAAATTATAGGATTTTCTGAATTTAATTTACTGAAAGTATTGAAAAATCATTCTCTGTTCTGGATAATGGCACTGAATTATCTTTTTTGGATGTATAATATTCATTTACACCCCTTACTGAAGAAAAAGGTAAATTTGAAAATAATTAGACAAGCAAAGTGAGAAAATATGAATGAATGGCATTGTAGCAAATGAAAATAAAGTTTACAACTAGATATTTTTGAACCTGATGTAAATTATTTTTTAAAAATGAATATTGTTTCATATCGTCAAGTTACAAACTTTTTCAAGACTGTACATACATTAAAGAAGAAAAAATGAGCACTTTTAGGAATACATATCGTTTAGTGTTGGGAAATTCATCATTTGAAATATCTTAAATGAATTTACTTTTTATTTCTTGTTGACATATTTGAGCTACATCATCTAATTTCGTTTTGGAAAACACCTAATTCATCAACACTGAACGTTCTTAGGAGACCGCATCTTGAACCTACATTAAATTTATATACACAACGTCAACTTTTTATTGAAATTTTATTTCATTCATTCTTTTAAAACAAAATGAACACATTCAACGTTGAATTTCAGTGAAATAAATACTATTTATGATAAGAATACAAGACAAACAAAACCCCACTAATTGAATCATATTGTTTGAAATTTGGAAAAAAAATCAATATTCGAATTTGGTGTTGAATCAAATTGAATCAAAGCAAAACAAATTCAAATTCCAATTACAAAACTCCATGACAAATACTGAGTCGCTTTAATGGTTGAGAAAGACTGCATCAGGCTTATCAGCTAATAAATCCCTTCAGAAGTAAATACAAGTTGAAACACTCTCCAAGCAGTACTTTGGTATATTTCATCCTTTATCTCAACACGTTGGAGTGGCTGGTTGATGATAAATATGAAGGTTAGCGCGTTGTATACATTTCTTATACATCATCTGATTACTCAAATATCCACTGAATTCAACGGCTGATATCTAGATGATGGTTCAATAGGTGACGGAGCTCAATTTCGAGAAATTTGAACTTATTTTTCTGTATAAACAAGACCCTAACATAATCGATCATTTCGACTTGATAGCTCCTGGTATATTTGTGATTGAAAAACCCAATTGGTTCCTTCTCCGTGCCCCGCTATGTGATGATGCCTTAAAATATTGTTTGGCAGAAAAATTACAATAATTTCATCTTATGTCAGGACGCTTATCTATTTTACCAACACATGTCGCAATCCATTTATTGAAGAATTGATTAGCCATTTCAAAGTTATCGTATATTTTGAGGTGCAGCCTTCTTGGCAAGACTACTGGGTATTACAGAATAACAATAACGGATGCTGGAACTCATCACTAATCACCGCATCGAAGATGAAACTTGGTTACAGTCATCACTTCCATTTTCTAGAGAAGGAATAGGAATTCGTTCAGCCACTGTACTCGCTTTGACATCATTTCTGTTCTCATTTTGCAGTGTTTCAAATATGATAGAAATCATCTCATAATACCCAAAGCCAATATCTGATTGTATTTTTGATCGAGACAAATCTCTTTGGGAATCCAGAACTGACCAATCAGTAAAAATTGAAGACATGAAAAACCAATACTACATCAAGCAACTACTATTCTACTGAAGACAGCTTCTGTAACTTCAAAAAATAAGACTCGTCTTCTTCTCTCAGTTACTGTGAAAAAATCTGGTGCTTTGATAAATGATATTTCTGTAGCATCATTTCAGACTCTACTGGATGATGACTGTTTAAGACTTGTGATTGGATTTTGACTTGATACACCACTGTGTGCTCAACACTTTTGTGAATGTGGTGCATTTGTGATTGGGGTTGAGCTGCCGTTTTAGCGCTGGACGTTTATCTTGCCCTTGCGCCATAAAGATCTAATCAAAAGGGTATCAACTTCAGCAAAAATTCCTGCAATTTTGGAAAGCACAGCTATAAGTAGAGACGACATAAAACGGTGGGATGACATGACATTTGTTCCATGAAAAAACGGTAAATCAGTTTTGGGACTTTACTTTTCTGGATACAACAGCAACTTGCCATCTTACTGCTACTTCTATGAAAGACGGTGCTGTTCCAAACTACGGAAATATTAGAATTTGGGAAATGATTATATCTCTCGCCAAATAGCTGTTGGAACTTTTGGTGTGTTTAAAGCATTATCCTTCATCAATGAAATTGTAAAAAAGATAATCATTGAGACCCTTGATTCAAGAGCCACATCTTTTCTCATTCAAAAAATTAGATCCATTCAAAGAGGAAATGCGGCTTCGTTTTTTGGTACTGAAATTTACATGTTACCTGAAAACCCACTTTATAAAGAAAAGCAAATGGAGAAGTAACTTTATCTCAGCAAAATTCTGAAATGGTTTCTAAAGATTTTTGAATTGTCCATTAATACAATCTTCAGTCAAAACCCTCGGGCTCAATCGGTTGAAAAATATTGGCAAAACCTGTTTTATGAACAGTGTAATTCAATGTTTATCAGATACGAGGTGGTTATTGGAGTATTTGAAAAAGGATGAATACATGAAAGATATCAATACTAGTATTTCTAGTATGAAGGCTGCTTCATTCAAAGCATTCGCAGAAGTCATCAAGGAATTGTGGTCAGAAGATTTATTTGATAGAGTAACAAATACAGTCTTCTTGAAAAGTCAAATTTAAAGTTGTGCCCCTCGATTCAGGGGTCATACCAATCAAGATGCCAGGAGTTTCTTCGTTATCTTTCAGAATGTTCGCATGAGGACGTTAATAGATGGGCTACTTATTAGTTATTCTCATCAAGGTTGATTTAGACGGCAACTTAAAACCCTTATAAAGGTACTGATAACATTTTGATTCCAACAAATAATCAGATAGAGCGAATTGTTTCATCCAATCCATATACTTCACTTCCTTAGTAGTTTAATGAAATTATGAGAAATCTTATTCACAATACAGATCTTGTTAGTAGTTGAAAGTTTTTCTTTTTGTCGAGCCGCGTTGAAATTATTCGAGTCCCAAGCACACTGCTGTTTGGGTTGGATCTGCACTGATGAGAGGCAATACTTCGAAACTGGTCTGTAGGTGATGTACTCGCCTGCTTTCAGCATGGTCCTGCTGGTGGATAAACGAGAAACATCTGGAAGATTAACCTTCATGAGATATCTTGCATAAATGTCTATCGGATACAATTCAATATCCAGCGTGGCATTAGCTGGGAAAGAAGTTGTTTGCCGGCAGGCATTTACCAGAACCTAGTGTAGATACATTGGGAAAGACGAATTATTCAATGTTTCATTTCGAAATATTTATTTTTTATATGCATGTATCTCTCCTAGATACTAATACGTTTCTTGATTTCTGTCAGAATACAGATACATGGGATGTTTCTTCCCTGCATAGGTATTTTTTCACGAGATGGAACTGTTACTAATTAATAATATTTATCTTAAATGAAGGTGACCTACTTGCAGTCGAGGCATATTAAAATTAATTGAGTCCCAAAACACACTGCTGTTTGGATCGGATCTTTCTTATGCTGTTGAGAGGTAATAACTCTAAACCGGTCTGTAGGTGATCTCACAATTGATTTAAGCATGGTCCTGCTGCTGGATGAACAAGAAAATTCTGCAAGACTAACCCATGTGAGCTATCTTGCATAAATGTCTATTGAATTCAATTTTCAGCGTGGTATTAGCCGGAAAAGTAGTTATTTTTCGACAGACATTTACCAGAACCTACGGGGTGTACTTGTGATGAACTGTTTGGAACCTTCGATGTAGTAAATTAATATTACTGAAGTTCTATCCCAACACCAAACCGTTATTTTTAAAACCCCGGCACGTGTTTCAATCACCAAGTGATCATCTTCAAAAGGAAGATACTAAATCTGTATACAATGTTGTCGTTATTTATACCATAGATACTTCTGGTAGGTACCTGCGTTCTTAATTGACTTAAAATTAATTTCACAATGTTGCCTTATCTACTAGTCAGGTAGATCTGATAACTAAAAATATTATTTCAATAAGCTATATGTACCTATAGTAAACTATTAGGTGCCTATTGGTCCACCATCGTTATTCATAATATTACTTATTGTTGACTTATTTCTAAGTAAACAACAACAGGCATCTAGATGCCTATGAGAGTTTAGAAATAAGTCATCATAATAATATCATGAATTAGTATGGTGGACCATACTTTATAGTTTACTATTGTTGAAATAATATTTTCAGTTATCAGATTTACCTGACTAGTAAATAAGGCAACATTGTGATATTAATTTTAAGACAATTAAGACGCAGGTACCTAGCAGAGGTATCTATGCTATAGATAAGGACAACATTGTATGTAGATTTAGTTTAATCTTAATCTTGAAGATGATCACTTGGTGATTGAAACACGTGTCGAGGTGTTAAAAACACGATTTGGTGTTGGGATACAACTTCATTAATATTCACCTAGTTGGGAGAGATGAATGTTCCGAAATTGTATTTAGACATATTTATTTCCTTATGAAGTATTACTTGAAGACATTATGGATTTTCATCAAGTATCGGTCGAATATTGTCCTCTATCTTTTTTTTACTTGACCCTACAGAGAGCCGTTATTTTGAAAATTTTCTGCAATTATTTCAGACTCGTTGACCCATCTCTTCTTGATACATATTATGGGATTAGTCAGATTTATTCAGATTTGGTTTCTCAGTAACGACTGTTCTGCAGATGCACTATTGTAGCGATAGTTGCTATGACATTCAAATTGAAAGTTCATCATTCAATAATAATAGCTCCGAAAATGAACTCTTCTCCCTTCGGAAAATCTTTGCTTTTCAGTCACTTCCTGGACAACTCAAACACTTTTTGCTTTGCTTCAGAGTATTT